ATATATATATATATATATAACATGAAGAGGAGTCCACGTGTGTTCATATAAATAATAGGCACTTTACGCAAGAGGACGGGGAGCCGTCGAGAACGGCAATTCGGGTTAAGCGCCCCATTGTTTACTGTGGTCTTCACGCTCTGATGAGCACAAAAGCACCGTCCACTCGTCTTCCCGTCCTGTTGTGTAAAGTGCCTAAAAAAGAAAGAAAACAGGAAACGGAGTAGCCTTTAAGAACATTATTTTATTAAAACATCAGTACCTGTATTATTAAAAGCTTCAGCATGAATATATATACAGCCTCCATCGAAAAGGAACCTAATTGAATATTCTTTGCCAAATATATCTCGGGCCCGTAGGCAGGATTTTTGATGGAGTGGTGCGTTTTGCGTGCGAAGCGGACCTACGTTGGGAGGGCATAGACCAGGGGTTGGCATAACAACCGGTCAGGAGGGCGAAAGTGAATTTTTGATTTAACACCGAGGGTCGTACCCAAACTTTGATGTTCCCAGCGTGCTTCCAAAACCCTCCACGCACTGCTTTTAAACCACATTATTCTCAGTTTTAATGTTACTTTTTACATATGATAGGTATCGGACCGTAAAAAAACAAGCTGTTTTCTAGCCAATTTGATTGGCGGGTCGCAAACATGAGGGTTTTTATTGTCGCTGGCATGCTGCCCCAGAATGGTGTCGACAACGGAGGGCGCCATTCTTGAATTCGTCTATGTAAATGTAGTCCTCCAACCCCGTCAAACAAGTATTATATGGATCCCCGTTGTCCGACGTCACACCTTGCCGTCAGACTGAAATATTAATTTGCCGTTCCAAACAAGTTACAGTCTTTTGATTGCCAATCCCTAATTTTGAAGGTTAAACGCGAAATTTTGGGCGTCCTAAACCATACAATTGCTCCCCATGTACCAACAGAGATTTTATTCTAGGGTGACACTGATTGTCGCTCTACGCGTCCCCTTGGTTCGCCCCACTTTCGGACATGTTGGACCCTCTGTCTGTCAGTACATCTTTCTAAAGCAACCACTGCAATGCAATAATTGTTGTGGAGCTCCTGAGGCATTTTTATATCTTATCTAAATCTAAAAATATTATTCCAGCTGTACTGTTAAAGAGAGGAGTAGGCCTATGTAGTGACATACTGTCAAAACTTTCACCGCGCTCCTACGTCAAGGTAGGCCTCCTACACAGTATTCAAAACGGTCACTATATATACAGTCATCTACAATACTATACTAGGTGATACAAAACAAATAGGCCAGTATGAAATAATAAGCAAATTGATTAGTAACCGATTGATATTCTTCACGGAAGTAATGAAACAACCGGCCAATGATCATGTTTATAAAAATGTGCCTATTCAACCATATATAGACATTGTGCTGCCGCTGCAATCTCGTCAATAGACGTACAGCGACGTGCGTGTTTTATTAAACTTTGGACGACAATGGAGCCAAAGAAGCGTTTTAAAAATAAATTCGTGAACCAGGAAATTACTTATCAGAGAAAATAACCTAATAAAGTACTCGAATGCTGGTAGACATTTAGACCTTACAAGGGTGATGTTTAATATTCTATCTGCACTGCCTATGGACTCAACATTTTCTAACAAGCCAGTGCTATGCTCGTGGAAATTGAACTTGAGCTTGTGGAAGAATTGAAAGAAGTTTTGAAAGGTTTGTATAATTTAAAAAATTATTTTATTATTTTAAATGAAAATATTTAGCCAGGAATGGATTTTGTATATAGCGCAATATTGCAATAAACTGTCTACACAACCAGGACAAGGTTGCCAGGAAGTTTCGAATCCCCGACCTCAAAGTTGAGAGACCGATTCGTAACTCCATTGCGCCAACCGCTTATATTTTAGAACCGTATTTACGCAGGGGGGTCGTGCGACAAGTGCGTACGCAACCTCTTCCTACCCAATCCCCAAAGTTCCACATTTCTTGGGGTAGAAAATTTAAGACTCGCTGTCGCACGTTCCATCCATCCACCAAACTTCCTTGACCAATTAGAGCACTTTCCTACTAGGACCGCCTCTAATTCGTGGGTAGGCTACAACGAACCACTTTTAACTGTATAAGCCCTATATATAAGCTTTTTGAGAAATTTTAGTGTTTTTCCCTGTCGCTGGCACGTAAATCATATTGATTCTCTAAGGGGTGGACTCTGGACCCCTCTGTTGAATGATCAATAAAAAGTTTAGAAATGGATGAAGGAATTAAGGAATGTAATGACATTTTCCCTTATGTATTTGCTCCTAAGACCAGAAGCGGCGCTAACGGGGGTCCAGGGGCAAAGAACCCCCCGTCGCGGACCTCTGGACTCCCGCTTGGACCCCCACACACCCAATTTCGGTTAATTTCCAGCCAGATCGTCGGAGAAAAATTAAATCTAGGGGGGTAAATAGGTTGACTAGCCTCCCGCCTTCGGTGGCCGTAAAAAAAAAATTACTCGTCCTTTGTGTGTGCTTCTCATGTACACATGTTACTTGTAGTAAGGCTACTTTCTATTTTAAGCTTATCTTCTTTTCAGATGTCACCTAAGCGCGTCTAGCCATCTACTACTAGGCCTAATTCTAAAAAATCTCAAAGGAAGGGGACTCCCCTTTCAAAACCCATAAGGGATGATCACGGGAGGCAACTCCCACACATATTTTTAGGATTGGGGTTGGGGTGGGGGTGATCGTTGTGGAATGATGTGAACATGTATCTACCAAGAAGCGCCTCTTTACGGCTGCTAGGTAGTCACGGACCACGCCCATACGCAATTCAGCACAATGACGCTGCAAGTTATGGGTTATTCTCCTACCTTTACCTTTACCTTTACCCTCATTTTTGCCTGAAAATTGGATAGGCCTATTCCAGCATTTTAGCTCATTAAAAAAATACATATTTTTTGTTGTAAAAAAAAATGCCGAAACTTAATTTAGTACATTTTGGGTCGATCGGGCGTGGCCAACACAATAATTGTTTTTATTTGGCCCGGTTTTTATTATCATTATCAATATATAATTGAGATGCTTTCGATACCGTTGATCATATTCTAAATTTGGAACTGGCACCATAAAGAGATTAAGGCGACAATTTCCGAGTAAAACGAGTTGAAATATTTAAACTCTGTAGGTCTACGGCCAACCGCTATTTATAATGGTATATCCCCTATTATTAAGGCGACAGGGACATTTTCATGGTCAAATAAACACATTTTCAACTCGTATTCTGGACATTTAGTTTTTAATCACAAAAACACGATAGACTAAAACTAATAATATTCCATTTAAATATAAAAACACTGCAATAAATAATATGACTCTCAGTATATCTAATAATAATTATTATAATTATTATTATTATTTTTATAATTATAATAATAATTATTATTATTATTTATTGTATCTTCAACAGTTTAATATAATTATTTTAAAAATTATTTCCATTAGGCCTATTATATTACTGTCTCTTATACACATCTAGATATAAATATATATATATATATATACAATTGTACTGTAATTTAAATATAAATATATATAATACAATTGTACTCCAAATTTTAAAGGAAGTACATATACATGTTCATGTTTGGTTAGGTCTGATTATTTCCTCAAACAATACATTCTTCTCGCTCTATGACATTATGTGCCAAAGTTCAATTTACATATTTGATAAGTAGGCCATATACAAAAGTTTTACTTTCAGGAAGTATAGGTTTTCGTCGCCCGACGTTAACCTTAATGGATAACGTCAAAATTATTATCTTGTGTTGCTTGCGGAGTACACTAATTTCAAGATTTTACGTGCTCGACCTACGTTAGCAGGTTGTTTTCGCCGCACGACGTTAACCTTAACGTTAACGGATGACGTCATAATTTATTGCGGAGTGCCTTAATTTTAGGATTTTACGTGCTCGACGTACGTTAGTATTTCGATTTGTTTACAAAAGGGGCGGAGCTATCGCGTTACAGTACTAACGTTAAAGTTAAAGTTGATTGAGTTTAGAACATTGATGCAAATATTTATTGTTTTTTTATTCAGAGCAATTACATTGTATGTGTTATCAAATCTAATATTGGTGGGGTTTTTTTAACAGTAAATTTTTTATGTTTATTGAGCGTTTTTGTGGAATTTTTTTATATAATACCGTATGCATTTTATTGACTATTTTTAAACTTTAACTTTTGATTGTTATTTTTTATATGTATTTATGTACAATTGTATTTATTTCAGCCATTGGCTGCCATTTACAAATTTTATTTGATGAATTGATGAATAACTCTTAACTCACTAGTAAAGTTCATATTTTATAATGGCCTACTATTAAAATTTTGCTTTACATGTTTTTTTGTTGTTTTTTTTTAATTTTGTCTAAAACAATATAGGCCTATAAGCAAAGTTCTTCTTTAATAATGAACTACTACTATGTTTAATAATGACCTATTAAAAAATGTTTGGTATTTATTTCTCCAGGAGTGGAAATTTTCCTGACTACTACATTAAAACGTATTTCTTTAAAGAAGGATGTAAATGAGAAGAATTGTATCGTTGCTTCAATTAAAGAACTTTTGAAGAAACTCAATCGTATTTCAGGTAAATTGCATTAGAGGCGGATCCCCCCACCCCCCACAAAAAAATACATACAATACATACCAATTTCATGAATTGAATTAATAAGTAAAAATAGAATAGAAATACAAAATGTTTCAATTGGGCCTCCGGCCCCTTCGCCATGTCCTGCTCCCCCAGTTTCCTATTCTGAATTTGGTGCCCTACCACTGTTTGAAAAGTGCGGATCCGCCCCTGGTAGGCCTATTGACGAGATTAGTTGTTTTCAAAATTATGAAAATAATAATAATAAATAATACCATAAAAACACTGCAATAAATAATATGACTCTCAGTATATCTAATAATAATTATTATAATTATTATTATTATTTTTATAATTATAATAATAATTATTATTATTATTTATTGTATCTTCAACAGTTTAATATAATTATTTTAAAAATTATTTCCATTAGGCCTATTATATTATACTGTATTGTATTATCTTGTATTGTACTATAAGGTAAAGTTTATATTGAGACTACCTATATTTTTAAGCAGGTAATATTGATGTTGATGCAGACAGTATCGAATTGCCTGATGAAGAAGAAGGCATCGACGAGGTAGGTCCTATACCTGCGCTACAACTAAAAAATTCGACGAAGGTTGGCCTCCTGAAGAAGCAGCAACACGGATTTGGACTACAAAAGAACACTCGATTTTGTGTGATAAAAGCTAACGTGATGTATTATTATAAGAAGATGGGAGACAAGAAGCAGGCGGGGGCCATTGTACTGGACGGATATGACGTCAGGCCAGCTACGCAGGACGACAAAAAGAAAGAGTTTGCTTTTGAATTGATCCATCCAACAAAGCGATATTACCAGGTATTATTAATGATGCTGATAATTATGATGACTACGACGGTGATACTGGTGATGGCAATAATGACGATGAAGGCGACAATGTTAATGATATAGGCCTAATGATGAAAACGGTGATGATTATGATACTGTATATGTAGTAATGACAAGGACGATGACATATGACGACGATGATGATGATGTTGATAGTACAACAATAACGACGGTGAGGCGATGATAATGACGATGATATGATATCAGTCGGTGATGTTAACAGCGGTGCATCTCCAAAAAAAACACAAAAAAACAAAAACAAAAACTTGCCCTCCTCCCACTGGAATTGTTCGGAGCAAAAAAATACGCTTACGATACATGAAAATCACCTCCGAGGTGATTTTCATACGGCGTACCGTATCGCCTAATTTTGCGAGCTCGCTTCCACTCTCTTTTAATCATCGAGCCCCCCACCCACCCCCAATCATGTCTCCCATTTTAAGACTATTAGATACACCACTGGATGTTAGCGTCAGACTTAAAACGACGATGAAGGTCTAATAATGATACTGATAGATAATGGTGAAGAAGATGACGATGATGGTGGAGGTGTATGCGATATGGCATCGATGATGAGGCCTACTGATAGAGGCACTAATAGTGAGGATTATGACGATGTTGGTGGCAGTGATAGCATGACAACGATGGCAGGGGCGGATTTAAGGGGGGTCGGCCCAACTTCTCACTTTTGGACGAATTTTTGGAAAGTTAAGAAAAGAAAGAAAAAGAAAGAAAGAAAAAGAATAAAATGATCACCCAAAACGCCTCAGAGGTTATTTTCGGGCGTGTAGAAAACAAAGGTTTCGCGGGGGCATTCGTCCAGACCCCCTAGGGTAGTGTTATGTCGATTGGTTCCACATTCGCACCCACCCCACCCCCCTTTTCGGACATCTCTGGATTCGCTTCTGGATGGTGACGAATGTGGTGGTGGTGGTGATGATGACAATGATGACAGTGACATTGATGATGATGATGATGATAATGATGATGAAGATGATGATGATGATGATGATGATGATGATGATGATGATGATGATGATGAAGATGGTGATGATGAAGATAATGATGATGATGATGATGATGATGATAGTGATTATGATGATGATATGAGGATGATCATGAGGATAACGTCAATGATGTGACTTGCTGTTCGCCAATATTTCACTATCTTTCTATAGTTCTTTACCGAAGATGAGCCAGCATTGGTGGCGTGGATTACGGCAGTACGAATAGCGACCAACAAACCAACTGGTAAGAATTTCATCACCAAACGTTTTATCATATACAGTTAGACAATGCCGTTTCGTAGTTCGGCAAACCAGTCGGTTTGGTGGAGCTCTCCTTTTTCGCAAATACTTTTCATGTTGTCTTTGTTGTCTTTGTGATTTTTCATTTTTCTTTAACGAAATGAATGATATTATATGTAGTGACACGGTATTGTTATGGCAACATTATTTTCTTCAGATAGTGATGAGGACGAAGAGATAAACAAAGAAAAGGAGGAAGAAAGAACAATGGTACATGAAGACAGCTTGTATGCAACTCCACTCGATGAGGACGAGACAACAGAAAATGGTAGGCAGAATCTGAAATCTATAGAAAATCCAAAAGATATCAAATTTAGCCTAAATATTTATCCCGTCATGGAAGTAACACACATTTAAAAACACCAAGCTTATTAAATGCAATATTGGCAAAAACTCACAAACTCTAACAAATATAGCCTATGGTAATTAAAACCTAGTAAAAACATAGAAACGGTAAACTGAAATTTGCAGGTATTTTTTTTTCTTTTGTTGACCAAAGGTCATTTATTCACAATTAAATATCATTCATTTACAATTTTTGATGAATGTATGCATTAATGTTCAACTCTATCAAAATTCATAATAAATACAATATACTAATTATTACAATGAAATAATGAATGATCAAGTCAACAGCGAAATAATAATCACATTGCTTAAAATAATCAGAATGTAATAACAGTGTAAATATATAATATGAAAGATAACTCCAAAAAACTATTAAATAAGTAATTGGAACCCAGAATTTTCTAATTTTTAAGGGACGTAAGTCGACCCCAGAATAAATTATACCAATATTTTATGTGACGCCCATAAAAGATAAATACAATACAGCAAAGTATTAAAAAAGTCCACAAACCGGATTTCAACCCGGAATCTTTAATTACATGTTTTAATTACATATTTGTAACTTTCAGATCCAAATCATCTTTGCCCGCCACAAGACGACCATCATGCAGACATCCATGAGAACCAAAGTACACATATATATCATGGTAAAAATATTTATAATGAGATTGAAGAGCAACAAACCCGTCGACCATCCGGTGACCTGAAAGATGAGGATCTTTACGCTGATATACCTGAAATAGAATATCAACCGACAATATCTCATACATCTATTCCTCCAACCCTACCTCCCAGGCGTGCATCGGACAACCTAATTGACGAGGATTCTATACCACCGCCTCCGTCCTACCCACCTCCACCGACGCCTGATAATCTTCAAATAATATCCAAAGGTGAAGGTCAGTCAGACTTCCAGTCTTTTGCAGCTAAAATTAAGACACGTGTAATTAAAGTTGATGTCCCGATTGTCCCAAAGGAATCACAGCAGAATGTGGGCGAACTTTACGCAACGGTGGACAAGGGGAGTAAGTCTACTTCGAACAAAACCAAACCTCTCTTTAATGCAAATGGAGATCCTATGCTGACTAAACCCGAGCTTAGCCCGAATAAGCCTAACATTCTAGTAACACTTCAAGATGACCAGACTTTATCTGCTAGTTCAACAAACATTGTGAACAAACCCTCAGATCCAATGCTTCCAGATGAGCAAATCTTACCTGCTAGTTTAACAAACAAACACTCAGTTGCAATGCCTCTAGATGAACAGACCATATCTGCTAGTTCATCGAAAAATGTGAACACACCATCAGTTCCAATGCTTCCAGATTCAAAACCGTGCGTACCTGCTACTTCAACAAACATTCGGAACAACCTCTCAGTTCCGATGCCACCAGATGACCAGACCTCTGCTAGTTCAACAAAAATTGAGAACAAACCCTCAGCTCCCATGCCTCCAGACGATCATACCTTATCTGATAACATTATGAACCGTAAAACATCAGCTCCAATTCCTTCGAGTAAACCAATTCGAGACGTATTCCAAGAAGATCTTAAAAATGCTATTAGAAGGAAACCTTCACTAATGAGCCCAACATCTTCACCAAAAATGTCTCGAAAGCCACCAATTGTCAAGCCAAAACCATCACTACAAAAGAATAAGCTGCCAAAGCCATGTGACTCAACACCATCTCAGTCAATCGGGACATCACCAGCTCAAGCCAAGGCACAGTCGATCGAAGATCCATCGCCCAAAACCCAACACAAACCTGACGAGCACCTCTAATATTCTAGCTTGAGTAGGCTTCCCAGAATTAATTCCCAGGGACCCTTCTTAGCAATCAGCCTAACAATGGCGACCCACCTTTTCAAGGAAATGTCTACTCACAGGCCTTCTTACATTAGTCTTGTAATTAAAATAGTGATAAACAATGACAGGCTAATATTTCGAAATATTGCTTGTCCAATATATTTACTAATTTTGGAACGCAAGGTGTCTTAGTGGTATGGCATCAGCAATTTTGAGTCGATATACAGATTGAGAGAGTCCATCTACGTACATCAGCCCCACCATGGTTGGGGCTAGTATTGAAATCTAATAGGTATGACCAGAAATAGCATGTGCTATTTGATGATATCCTAGTGGCGTAAACGCTAGAAGAAGCCTCATTGGCTTAAGCCAGGGAATAGGGATATTCTCTTGTCCAAAATCGGCCGAGGAACCGTTTTTTAAAAGGAGCAACAAATGAGTAAAAACATCAAAATATTCCCCATAAAATGAAAAAAAAAACAAAAACAAAAACACTCCACAGAAGTCCTATGTCCCAGCCGGGCTCTACAGGAGCCACCAGGAAGGGGAGTTGGATCTGAAGGAGCCTTACAAGAGGCCCAGGACTCTTTGTTACGCCAATGATCATATCACAGGGATCACACTAATGCACCAACGGACATATTATACATAAATTCAACACCCTTTCTTTGAATCGACTTAGTATAATTTAAATCAATTATGATTTAATTGTTTTTTCCATCCCTACTCATGTAAAAATATGTCCAAAGTCAGTGGTTCTTAACGGGTACTGACTTTGGACATATTTTTACATGAAATTCCGCTTTCCCTCCATAAGTGACTACTTATCAAGTAGATGCATCCGTTTGCATTATGTTATTTGTTTTATGGATTATTTGTTAATGTGTGTGTAAAGTTGTTTACTTTATGATTTCATTTCCAATATAATGTTTGTTTCGATGGTTAGTAGTACCAACCACACTTATTAAGTGGATAATCAAACTGATATAATCACAAAGGATAAAGAAACTGGTTAATAATTTATAAAGAAGTGCATAGTAAATAGCGTCTACGATGTTGTTTTTACATTTACTTTCTGATGAAGGGCAACACTCAAATATATGTCCTATAAACTATATTAATGCGCTCAATGCGTGCCGTATACTCACATTAAATTGGCGTCCCATAGTCTCTCTTGGTGCTGTAACTACTGTAATATATTATTCCAATTACAGACACTTTTCTCTGAAGACTAATATTTTATCTATATATTATTTTTCTAATTACTAAAGCTGCTAAAGACCATGAAAGCCTTCGTCCCTTTGATCTTTGATTGGAAAGAGATGTATAGGCCTCATGGGTGGTGCCAGCGCCCCACCCTCCATCCTGTCGGGGTGGAAAACCACAATTCGTCGAGGAGAAAACAAATGTACATATTAATAGGCTCTAAAATCGATTAAATGAGCCTTTGAAACCCCTAAATTGTCAATCGGGGGCCACTTTCGAATCATTTTAAGCGACGGGGAAATCTTCGTCCCGCCCCCATCGTCACACGGGAAAACACCTCCGTCAGACAAGAATCGTCGGACACGTGACTAAACAAGAAAAAGAATTCTATTTTTTGCTTTTTAAAATATTTGGGGTAAAATACGTTCGAAAACGTGTTAGAAAGATTAAAATTGTCCAGTTTCTTTAGAGAAGAGGGGTAAGACCAGTCCCCACACCCTGGATTTTACCACGGCTTTCACTCCTGAACCCCCGCCACGACGGAAACATCCTGGCGCCGCCACTGCAAACCTGGTAGAAATCCTCAGAACAATCTAGCAAACCGTGTCTATGTTTACAGTATGCTAACAGGGGTCCTCTATTTGCCAACAATTAAACACTCATTAATGCCCGACAAGATTGTAGGAAATGTCTGATTTCGTCACTGTCGGATTTCATAGTTTAATTGTTGTTGGGTTTAGCTTTTAAAGGAAAATTAAATGGAGTGGAGTTGAATAGCTTAGCGGATACATGGCTGCAGATCATGGGAGAAGGACAGGGGGCCACGTTGCCTCGACATATTTTTAAGGGGGTTGGACCCTTCACTTTTCGTCGGCAATGTAAGTTCATGTCACTTTTCGTCCGCAATGCAAAGTCACTTAAGAAGATGCCTGAAAATTGTTGAAATGACAGTGGCGGATCCAGGAATTCGAAATACGGGGGGGACACCTCTAGATGGTCGGAAATGGCACTTAAGACCTAAATTGATTAAAATGTTCCATTTTTATCCATATTTATATATTTCTCTTTTTTATTTAGTGGGGACTCGGGCCGGCCCTAAAGTAGAAAAGTCACGGCCAAACTATATTTGGCCGAATTTGTAAAAAGTATACACGTTTTTTTTTTTGTTTTTTTGGTTTTTTTTTTTACAATATAGGCCAATATAAAGCAGTTACATTTAATAATGTAAATTGTTCGGATGAAATTTTATGAAGTTTATCTTCGTTTGAGCTTATAATTATGAAGTTGGTGGGAATTTCTCTCTGATTGTTGAGGATTGAATATGAAATAAATAAAATGGTTTATTTTATTATTTCCCACTTTAAATCTTAACGTTAGGCGCTCCTGTGTTCTTTAGTATAGCGCCATAATGCTTGATGCGATCATTCGGCTCCAGAAACCTGCCAGTTTGTGTTACCAAATTAATTTTTATTCTAATTAAAAAGTCGCACGGATTTGCCATATGATGAATCGATAACAGGCTCTTTAAATTATTGCTATAAAATGATCGACTACGATGTACGTTATTAAAGAAATAATAATAATAATAATAATAATAATAATAATAATAATAATAATAATAATAATAATAATAATAATAAAAACTTAAGATATGCTGGCGCCGAGGTCAATCTGAATAATGTGATTTATAAATAGGCCTGCGTGATAGCAACTAATTAAAGAGCATAGACCTATATTTAATAATGATGTTTGGGCATTCAATGTGGTGATCAATAATGATAAGCACAATAAACAGTGAAAGATTAACTTTGTTCTCTGTGTATAACTTTGATTTCTTAAATTTCAAACAAATGACCAATGATTGTCACGTATTTTTTTGTATTTAAACTGAATATTTATGTACCAACTGTTATCTACTAATCCTATTAAATAGGTCCATGGTCCGAAGTTTGGCCGCAAGGTTCAGTAGCGCAGCCAGAATATTCTGTGACCTGATTGAGGCTCAGTCAGTGCATAGAGAAAATAGAACAGTTCTATATGGTCAGTGTTATGCAACCTTTCTGGGCCAGGGGACCACTCCTTACATCGTGTACTAATATTCAGTCAATCAGACCTTTACTGACTACATGTAATAGTAGAATCACTTTTTAAAGTTTTGACATACAGTAGATGGAGAACACAATTTAAGCCAGTAGTTGCCACACGTTAAGCCACACTAACAGCTTAAATTATTAAAAAAAAAAGTTTTGCTACTGTCTGCAGTAAGGTTTTTAAGCGCAACATATTCAATGAGTAGGCCTAAATGCTGAAGGTTAAAGGCAAAAAAATGATACGTCATTGGGAAATTAACTCGAAAATTTTACAAAGCAAAATGTTGACAATAGAAGAAAAAACAAAGGTGGAGTAATGGCTACTTCAGCGGAAACGTCAAAAAGTGCATGCGAGACCCATGTAAGATTGGCAACGCCAATAAAACTAAACCCAATATTGTAATAATATGTGCGGCAAGGCAGTGTGAAAGCAATGTAATTAAATGTTTTTGTGTGGATTCACAGGCCACAAGACGGCAGACAACTCAACTTTTAGCTGACCATTTTTTGCGGGACACCGTCGGACTCTCGGCATTTGACAGACTGCCAATACTTTTGGGCAGACCACCAAGTGGTCTACGAACCACGGGTTGCGCAACATTGCTCCAGGTGGTCCCTTGTTTGCCGACTTATTGAACCGCTTGTCAACAAATTCCTGGAGCCAACACTGATTTTATGGTACAGATGGGAGAATTTAAAATACAGTGCTGTATTTAATTTCATGACAACCAGTTCTTTAAAAGAAAATATTCCCATTATACTGTAAGATAGTATTACAGCATACTACTTAATTCCATGATACAGTAATATGCTTTGTATGCCATTAGCGGTGGTTATCCGTATGTTTTCAAACCTTCCATTTACATTAGTAAAAGAATTGCTGGGAAAACTAAACAGACATTGTACAACAAACTTTCGAATGCTTTTTTTTTCTTTGATTCAAATTTTATTTATTTTTTATTTTTTTGTACAAATAAAAAGCAACTACACACTACATTTACTTTGCAACATTTGTGGATAAATAATTGTTATCTAAAGAACATTGGTGATAAATTTGATACCAATTAATCTGATTAATTTTACAGTATCATATTGTGCATGCAGTAAATTTTAATTAAGACAGTACAGTCATGGACCATGGATGGAAACAATGTTATTATTAAGCAGTTAAGGAGTTTCTTCATGTAAACAGCGTATATTCTGACTGCTGCGCCACTACTAACCAGAGTATGTTACCACCTAATTTATATACAAAGAACAAGACGTAATAAGTAAATCTATATTTTAATTTGTTGTCAACTCATGATAACATTAAGGTAAGTGCTTGAAACAACTCAGTTTTTTTCCTGTTTATCTGTAAAAGTGTGACCAAAGAATAAGACATAATTCATAAACAAACAGTTCATTCAACTTGCCCGTTTTTAAAAAAATAGCAGAAGAATAAAGACAAAAAAATATATCTAAGAGGACATTTCTAATGAAATAATATTATCACATCTACTGTATGTATACATATATAAGGTTAAAGACTTTACAGAACTAAACTAAAGCTATCAAATTTTATATGACAAATATCTTTTGGCAAATCATACAAGTTTGTTACAATAGTGTAGACAGTGCTTCCTATATCACAGACCATCACACATATAAAAAAAAAAAACACAATCATATTATTTCACAGTTGCTTTAGTAGAGTAGGCTCGTCAACTATAACTTGCAATAACTAAAACACATCAGTAAAAAAGTTTCTATCTAAAAATCGGGGTTATCATTTCCAACTTACCACTGGAGGAACAGATTACCATATATATACCAGGGAAGACAAAAAGAAGCACTGTTGAACACATATTAAAGTTGACCTGATCAACAATTCAATAATACTTATGATACATTATTAAGTGCATGCTTAATCCAATTCTGGCTAAATATCAACAATGCATGGTAAACCACATTGGGCAGTGGCTATTGTTACACCAATCATAAATCTATTCTTAATTCTGATTGAATCTTATTGTATGTATAAATTAGAATAGGACAATAACACCCAATCAAAATTGAGGATTAGTTTTAAGACTGGTGTAACAATAGCCACTGGCAAGCATATACTGTATAACAAATTATTGGAATTTCATGCAGATTGTAATTTTACAAACCAAACCGTTACAGAATTTATGCGTTTATCCACACTCGTCACAGAGAGCCATAAATAAAAAACACCCTGTCTTATTATCCCATTCAAAACAACATTACAACCCTGCACGCTGGCCTATAACTGTCTCTTATACACATCTAGATGTGTATAAGAGACAGATTATTGGTACAGTACAGAACTTGTATGAGAAACACTAAAATGCATTTGATATCTCAAAGCATTCAAAATTTATATTTCCTTTCTCTTTAAACTCGCTTTGCTAGCACATGAACATGTATCATAGAAAAAAATGACAATGCTATGTAACATAATCAGCACAGAGCCTCACATATCATCCAGGTGGTGAAAGCATATTTTACATTTTTTACAAACAATCCATTTTTTACAATAAGGCCAAATGAAAAAATATACTTGTTAAGCGTCACCCCCTCAAAAGTTTTCAGGGGCGGGGGGGTGCGGGCGCGTTTTTGTTTTTTGGGTTTTTTTTTTTTTGATTTTGGTTGTTTTTTTTTTTTTGCTCCATGATTTATCTCTGCACGGTTTCAGTTTATGTGACCGTTTTGGCTTGTACATAAAAGAAAGTCTACAATTGAGTCAGTACATCTTTTTTAAACATTGAGAAACACATTTAGGATCATTTATATACGCAGCCCATGAATTGCCACAGCAAAGAATTGAATATTTTGCTAGCCTAGTCTGGCCTAGCATTTCTTAGCTTCAATAACTGTATGAATGGTTGGCAAGCCAAAACTTAAGACTGAAACTGGCCATAACAGAAACTAAATCTTACGTACGTCGCACTTCACAGCTTGTTCTCTGCACTCAAGATGAATAAAAATGATCATTTTCCGCCAATTATCGGCATTTTTTAATTGATTTTCATCATTTTTTTTCAAAAAAAAAAGAGCCGGCTAGAAAATCAGGGGCGAGCAGGTGACGCTTAACAAGTATATTTTTTTATTTGGCCTAATGTCATTTTTTGTTTCTTTACGTTTCCTTAGCTTTCCTTGTCTTATCTTTGTCCTCTTCATGCCAGGTAAGTCGCTCTTCGTAAAATGATATCACAATCTGGGGGCATTTAGTGTTCGCCTCTTTGGCACGCACCAGGTCCGCCTCATTACTTCCTTGCCTGAAACCAAGGAAAAACAAGTTGTAATTACTAGAGTCAATTTCATTTTAGTCTCAACATTTGATATTAATTATACAAGTTGTTTCTTTAAACTTGGGCTCCGGAGGAAAAAAACGTTTTGATATGTTGTAGAACAGATTTTATAAAACAGAAAAAAGTTGTTTGACGAGAAACTGGGGAATGGTGAATAAGATACAGATTTTTTAATATTTAAAAACTGGAATGAAAAAGGAGGCATAACAGTTCTTTTTTACACCTTTTAAAATATTCAAAAATCTGTCGAACAACATGAAAAAATTGTTTTCCTCTGGAGTCTCACTATAACAAGTCAGCGAGTTTAATGGCAAAGCGGTTAAGGGAAGGGCGGCAGAAACCTACAGCTGTAATACCGGTGCTGGTTTGAGTGGCACGCTCAGGGATGTAGTTATGGTGGGCGGGGAAACCCAGCCTTGAAGTTTTCCACCCAGTCTAAAGCTAATTTCATGGCCCTCCACCCACCCTTATTATCCCACTTTTCCATCCTTAAAATTCACTCTTATTATTTAGGATTTAGCAATATTCTCACCCACCCACCCTTAAAATGTCTATCACCCACACTTAGTTTTCTACAGCTACAACCCTGCACGCTGGCCTATAAATTGTAAGCCCAGTGTACACAATTAGCTCGTGTTCATGAGCCTAGTACATCTTTCGAGAGAAACAGGGGTTACCCTGATGTACTATACAGCCTCTTTTGTGAATAAACAAGAGTACCTGGCACCGCTACATTTGTATTTTCTGCTGAACCTCCTTGTGTAACCACCCCTCATGGTCGCTTACAGTACGAGAGGTTCAGCTATAAACAATAATACGTAAAATAATAAAAAAAATTAGAGGAAGGCCATATTTACCATTTCATGAGGAAAAGCAAGTCCCCATTTGATTCTGTTGCACCAATAATTCTTTCGGGCTTTAATCCCCTCTCAAACCCAGTGGCTTTCTTGGCACCGCTGGTTGACGACATATCTTCATCCCTTTTTGACGCCTGTAAAACAATGCAGCATATTAATTACTGTCATATCATATCAATCAGTATTGATCTAAACAATGAACAATTAATATATCAACTATGTCATTCACTTTCTATTTTATGGATTTTTTAAAATGGAACTTAGCATTAAAGACAGGCTTAGGAGGAAAACAACTGATTTTTCTAAGACATAAATTTCATATTTGACAACAAACTCAGACGCGGTTAATAAGATACAGATTTTTGAATATTTAAAAACTGGGGAAAAGGGGTGTTACCACCTTTCCCCTAGTTTTTAAATATTAAAAAATCTGAATCTCATTTTTCCCCAGTTTTTAAATATTAAAAATTCTTAATCTCATTAACAGCTTCTGGGTTTTTTTTTAAATTTTTTTTATAACAAATGGTTTTCGAGTATAGAAAAATTAGATGCACAATACAGTAGAAACCCTGAATTACGAACCCCGATTTAACAAATTCCCGATTTTACGAACGTAAAATCAAGGTGATGAAATCATAAAAAGTGAAGTGAAAAATAATAATTTAAAAAAAATCTGCTCGAATTGTAACTGTTATTAGCATGCATACAACACAACATACCATACTATACAGTACTATGTAATTCTCAACTGAAGGAGGCCCTCTAACGGGCCTCTTAAAATTCAGTGTTTTTTATGGCTTCACACATGTGCATGCGACAAATTTTACTTTTCTTTCAGACATCGTTTTCAGCTTTAAAAGTCAACACAGTGCTTGATTGTTTTATTAAATGATCAATATATATAATAAACAAGAATCTATGGAAGTTGTGTCGGAGTGAAATCCACAATCTAGGTATTTAAGAAGGTGAAAACTTGAGGGCCTAGAGCGGGATCAGAATGCTTAGAAATCCTGCTGTGCAACACCTGTAAGTCTAAAGAAGCAAGACATTTTTTTTTTAACCACAAGAAAATTTCCTGGTGTCACTGGATTTTGAACCCAGAACCATTAGAGGTCAAGTATTTTAACCACAAACCTCTTCCTTCTTTTTTCTTTTTGTTTGTACTGTCTCTTCTGAACCATTTACACCAGATTTCCTCTTAGCAGCAGCGGCGGCTTCGTTTTTGGCTTTCAATTTGTCCTCAAATTCTTTGATTAAATCTGGGCAGTCTAAATTCTCTTCTGGTTCCCATGTATTGTCACTACTGTAAATGTAATAAACAAAAACAAAAAAATATTTACATTATTTTCATTATTAGTAATGTTATCACAAAAATTCTAATTATTTGTATCCACAGTTGAACTTGCTTAAGTCGAATCCAAAATGGCATTGAAAAATTGTTTGACTTACTCTAGATCAAATTTGACTTACAGATTGTTAATTAATGGAAAACACAACACTTTGGCATGATGGGAGCGGATGCGAACTAATTATTTTATTTTACATGGCCTTAGGCAAAGTCGACTTGGCAAGTTAAACTGTATTTCATAACTTAATAATTCTGTATTTTCATTTGTATTCATATTTCATATTGATGTATATTTAATATTTGTTGTAATTTTATGAGCAATGACTTTTTTCAATGTAATTTCCTTTTGGATAAATAAGTTTGAATTAAATTTCACAATTATCTTAATATCAATGATTCTTTACTTGAATAATCTCACAAGGCCTACAATGAAAATATTTTACTTATAAGTGGAGTCAAAAAGTATCAAAAGAACCTTTTTTAATTTCACAATAACTAGCAATTCTCCATATAATATTAGGAATCTTAAATTAAAAATACCCACTAAACTGTATCATAGTTTATGGTCATTTTAACTTGAGGTGGATGGATCACTGTAATGGAAGCCTTTACCTGACAGGAGTGATAGATACCCATTGTTATATCAAGCTACGCTGACACTGATCTTTTTTATTTTTTCTTACTATATTTGAACTAGATCAATAATACTGAATTTTGATCTATAGTATTATATGTGGTCGTGCAACATTATCAACATTTTCACAAGTGTACAAACAGTAGGCTGGGGGGGGGGGAAGTAGACAAATTTGTTCACTCTACATAATGCATGAAAATGTTGATTCAAAATAACATGCAATATGTAAAATAATGGTAAAATTATGTTACCATGGATATAATATTCATTTTTAAGCAACTAAGTATGTTTCTTTAGTTGACATCACACAAACATGGAGAATGTTTTTGCAAAATCAACATTTTTTTTGTACCCTTTCAGAGGGGAGGAAGGGGGTACCGAAAAAGAGTAGTTTGTACACTTTTGAAAACATTGATAATTGTGAACGACTCCTAAAGTGGAGTTCACTTTCATAGTGTAAGACCAACTTTAAGCCATTTTTGATGTTGTAGAAACAGATTTTTCTTAGACACAAAAATCATATTTGACGAAAAATGTGCAAGCAGTTAATGAGATACAGATTTTTGAATATATAAAACCGGAGGAAAAAGGTGGGGAGAAAAAGGTGGGAAAAAAAAGTGTGGTTACACTCCTTTTCCCCCCCAGTTTTCAAATATTCAAAAATCTGCATCTCATTAACCATTTTGCAAGATTTTTGCCAAACATGCTTTTTGTATCTTAGAAAAATCAGTTGTACAACATATCAAAAAAAATTTTTTCTTCCAGAGCCTGGCTTTAAATGACACACACGAAGCATTACATTTGTTTTGTTGTTCAGAAACACCATGTAGTAGAAACAAAATATTTAATATACAGTACAAGGTTTATTTTGAAAAACAAGCCTGGATTATAGGTACTGTACGTACAGTACAGGTTTATGCCATTGTAGTACGACAATGCGTTGTCCAGGGTGGGGGGGGGAATTAAAAATGAAAAAATTTTTTAGATGTTCTCAATGATAGTAAGGATGGCACTGGCTGAAATGAACTCAGAGCATTGGGGGGGGGGGAAAGGAAGGGGGCAATGTCCTACTTGTCCAAAGACTCAATGGGTTCACAAAATCCTACTTTTCATATTATTTCAAGAATCAAAAACAGCCAGCTCCCATGGCACTCAAGATAGATGGCAGCCATTGATTACTTCACCAATTGACCTAAAACAACAAGTTGAAGCATTATAGACCTACTGTAGAGGGCCACATAAAAGGTTTCTTTAATGCTCAGAAATATTAAAATAAATAAATAAATAAATAAATAAATATATTAAACTACAGATGCCTCTCAGATACTAGATTCAGGCATGATAACTACCCTTTCTTTGTCTGTCTAGATTGCCTTCCAACTAAAAATTGATTTATGTTATTGGTTAAAAAGGCCTCATTCTCCTTTTTTAAAAATATTAGATCGAGAAACTGCTCATCCAACTAAAAATTGATTTATGTTATTGGAAGAATATCTACTTACTCCGAGTACCCCTTCCACCTAAGATAGTACTCTGTTTTTCCCTTGTTTATTCTTTTCTCAATAACACGCTCCACCTGATATTCCTCTTCTCCATCGTCTCCTTCATCGGCAGCAACCTTAGGCTCATCTTTAACCTTTCCCATACTGTATATTTTTTTCAACGTCTACAAGAAATAATCACAAAAAAAAATAGCCTTAATAATAATCAGTTTTGATGGTTTTAATTTGACTGAATTTGTTCAAATAACCTATCAATGAAATTCTTTATTCATGCCACTCGAGACACCTTAAATTAATTTATTTCTTGATCAATCTGAACGTGACATTACTTTCGATTTGAATTGACTCGTGAACTCTGATGTATCCAATCGATCTTTTCCATTATCCCATCAGAAGGCTTGACAATACATGCATGTAGTTTACAGTACTTTAATTAACCTGCTGCACACATTTCCATCGTAATTAAGTTTTTCCCTGATTACAATGGCTCACGAATGCACCCATTGTGTACCACAGGACTGAATAGGGGTCGTTAATTTGACATGACCGAAATTTGTCATTTTGTCTTTTTGGGCATGTGCAGGTAGACATGAACGTGTCCAAGTAATAATGTAGGTCTTGACTCGAGAATGGACACATCATGGGCGCAATGTGGATAAAAACGGGATTCGTCCATCAATTTTCATTAACTATACTCAAATTTGGGCAGAAAATCACTAGGAAAATATAGTGTACAGAATCGTAACTATTGCATAATTAACAGGCAAAGGCCTAATTATCGGCAAAATATGTACAGAAATTCCTATGGCTACATATTTACGCCGGACCGTTAGTTCAAGTTATGCATAACAATTGACATTTCTTTTCAATCAGATCCCTCTTGTTGAACACTTGTCTGTATTGTTTGCTGTGAAGTGTGAATGAGTCATTATTATAACATTTAAGCATCAATCAAAATAATTCACTATCATCAATCAATGATCAAGGAGAAGTACTGTTTTAACATAAAACCATTCTAATAACAACCTGGCCTAATGGGTGATCATCCATATCGGCATCCATTCCAAGATATCAATAAGAAAATTTGTTTTGAACATTCAATTAAGTTCTAAAGGTTTCATACTACTACAAAACAAAAATCAGAAGAGCTAGGCTAGGCCTAGACCTACGGATCGCTCATCGCTAACCACAGCAGCAACAGCAGAAAATAATTCTGTTGCCTTTTCCAAGCAAATTGCCAACTACTAGGCCTAGGGCCTCCCCTGTAGCCACTATTCAAACATTGAGTGATACTCCAGCCGGAGTTACACTATCAAGATCAATTTAACTTTATATAGGCCTAGCTCATCTAGGCAAGGCCAAGATGGCCAACAAGCTTCTTCTTTTTCTTTAGGCACACAATACATGTGCCAAGGATTGTCAAGAGCGAATATATCACTATCCTACTTGTAGGTGACAATCCCTTACACAAGTCAAACATACACACACGATGCTTTTCACAAACTAAATCTCAATATGAATTTTAGGGAGTCATTATTATGTCATGAGAAAAAATCCTGCAACTGGCAGGAATTGAACCCAAGACCCTGGGATTGGAAGGCAAGCATCTTAACCACCAAGCTATTCAACTCCACTTCAAGCACGCCATGTTATGTTGTACCACAGTATACACACAGAAAAGAAAGACAAAAATCTGTTCTGTGTGAACTGTGATTGACCAACAAGATAAGCTACCTAGGCTACACGGCAGGGCCTAGGGGCCCTAGGGCCCAGGCCTGTTTGACAGCATTTTGCTAAATATTCACTTAAATATACACATTCACTATAGGTATTAGCAACCAAATTATAGATTAAAATATACAAAACGGTGGATGAACTATAATTATTACAATTATAAAATAAACAACTGAGCAATAAAATTACCTCAAAAACTACGGCGGGAAACTTACTCCTTCTTCGAAAGATACTGCGCAAATCAATAACCTTTCATTTGCATAGACCTTAATATGAATTCAACGGCTATACAATTCATAAGCGTTTTAATAATTTTGCAGACAATAAATAAAAATAAATATTTATGAAATTACGTTATTATATTTTATAAATTCATTCTTCTATATTTATTGTCATATAAATTATTATAAATTTATACTAAGAAACAAAAAATATTGCCAAATTTTCAAAAACGGATATGACACATCTCGAAAACACGTGGGCCTCGTGGTGTAATTTTCGATGGTGGTGTGTGGTGTCAGAAAAAAAAGATATAGCGCCACCACATCTGCTTTTTGAGGCCCGTCTTCGATGGTGGTCGGCTAGCTAGTTAGGCCAGCTCATCTTGAAAACTACACTTTTGATTCACACACACGCAGCAATATGGCGATGTACAATTTTAAGAAAATCACTGTGGTTCCAACTTCCAAGGTAACGGTTTTTTTTACGTATGTAGGGATTATACACCTTTTTATTCATTTAATAAGACTAGGCCCTAGGCTACGCCTAGGCCTAGCTAGTAGTACCTAGCTAGTAGTACTAGGGGCCTAGGTAGGCCTAGACATAAGCCTTCTTAATCTTAAACTACAGTACTAGGCCTCTAGGCTCGAGAGTGATAGTGGGTAATCTGGATCACCGATCTAGCCTAGTCTTAGTACAGGGCCTAGGTAGATATAGTCGTACTCTCTTTAGACTGGGCTATGCCTTACGACCTACATTAGTTCCAAGCGTTAATAATTAATTGCTTCTGGCCAAACAAATATGCTCATTGCTAGGCCTAGATTAAAGATGTATTTTCCCATGCTAAATACCAAAAAAATTATAAAAAATATTTTTTGAAATTAACTTGCCCATTTTGAAGTAACACCAAAGTTATCAATATCAACTTGAACATAGAAATAAAAAAAAAAAATGACGCTGGCCAATATAAAGATAAGAATGACGTCATGGAATTGAAGCCAAGCTTACATGTGAAGGGTTTAATTTTCTTTCTATTCTGAATGTTTAAAAATCTTTTCTTTTTATAGGACTTTGTTGACATCGTGTTATCGAAGACACAGAGAAAGACACCGACTGTCATACACAAGCATTACAAGATCAGTCGTATTCGTTCATTTTACATGCGCAAGATCAAGTACACCCAGCAAAACTACCATGATAAACTGACACAAATTATAAATGATTTCCCAAAACTTGAGGTACTTGCTACCCACAACTTTAGGACTAATGTGAATGTGTGGTGTTTTTTGTGGTTGAGGTCCTGGGGTCATTTCTTGAAATATTAAGGAGAATTGATTGACTTGAGAGAATGAGCTGGCAGAATGAATTTAATCATCCGTGACTGGTGCCACATGCATTTTACATTCTATCGGGTCTATTTTGAAGCAGCGCTGCCATCCTCTCGTAACTCAGTCAGGGACTTCCAGCAGGCCAGCCTAGCCTAAGCAGCTAGCTTGTAGCAAATTGAGTGCGCTGCGCACACGGTAACTACGTAGCGCGTAATGCCTAGGCCTCTGAAAGTCCCCAGCGGTAGTCGGCAGGTTACCAGAAATTTTTATTTCAAATTAATAGCGAAAATTGTGTTTAGTAAATCAATTTTAGATGCAAAAAAAATGGCACCCCTGTGCCAGGGATCTCTAGCTTAGATTTCCTGAGAGATTTTATCGCCCCAAAGGCTGGGCAAATGTCCCCGACAGCTTGGTCTAGGGGTCTAGGCCTTGCTGAGCCACTTGCTGGTATCGCCCCTGAGTAGTACTAGCCATTGTATCTTTCTACTAAACCCCACTCCTTCGATATTGTTGCTAGTTCCCACAAAACTACAGTGTTACGCAAACACGTATGTCTGTGGGACAACATGTGTGCTTGTTAGACACATGTATATTTCTGGCCCTCTGATTGGTCAATTGTTAAGTTTGATTGACATGCTGGAAAGTCCATTAAATGAGGTTCTATACAAATTTAGCACTTGGTATGTATTCCTCTGTTAATTAAATCTGAACTGTTCCATAACAGTGTGTATTGACAAGTGTTTTTTTTTTTTTTGTTTTTTTTTGTGGTTTTAATATTTTTTTTTTTTTTTATTCTATAAATTTCAGGATATTCACCCATTTTATGCAGACTTAATGAATGTGTTGTACGACAAGGATCATTACAAGTTGGCGCTTGGCCAGATAAACACAGCCCGTCACCTTATAGATAAGTATGTTCTTTACACTTTTGTAGAATTTTTTTATAAATTACTTAAAGTTGCTTTCTGTTCCAGATACATCAGCATCTCCATCATTGTTAAGCCCTGTCCAGACTATGAAATTTTGTGTAACAAAAACATATGCCATGCCTAAATATGGTCATGATGACATCACATCATGACCATATATAGACACATCATGACTATATTATGGGCATACATCAATTTTTTTGTCAGACAATTTAATAGTCTAGACAGAGCTTAGTCTAGGTAGAGTTAAAGATTTACAGTTTTCAATTAATAAATATGTACTAATTAATATTAATTTTTATTTTTTTTGGACAGCTTATACTTACACCAAAAACTTCACCAAATATAGTAGCAGCATTAACAAAAGACCTGTCCAGACTATCAAATATTATTTGTGACATGCCTAAACATGGTCATGATGACATCACATCATGACTATATATAGGTACATCATGACTAAATATGGGCGTACAACAAGCTGATAGTACAAAAAACTGAAAGATTCAGTAATAATAATAACTTCTGGATGATTTTGATTAACTCTTACTCGGAGTTCATCTATCTTATTTAAAATGGATCTAGCATTATGCACAAACAGAGTATTAGGGTAACCTAATTTTGTACAAAAACGTTCTTTGTGATTGATTGATATTGAGTGTATTGTTATTACATTTTTCAGTGTCGCACGTGACTATGTACGACTGATGAAATACGGTGACTCGCTGTATCGCTGCAAACAGTTGAAGAGAGCTGCTCTAGGTCGTATGTGTACAATAATGAAACGTCAGAATCAGAGCTTACAATACTTAGAACAGGTTCGTCAACATTTGTCCCGTCTGCCGACCATTGACCCCATGACAAGGACGCTGCTCATCTGCGGGTTTCCAAACGTTGGCAAATCAAGTTTCATGAATAAGGTGAGTTATTTTGTCAGCTCAAATTATTTTTATTTTGCCCTACTCTTCTGAAGTGGCTTTGACTGCTATGTATGTGCTCTCCTGATGTGTGTCTATGTTTAAAATGTTTTAAAATTCAACTTGACCTATTATTTGGTAATGTTTACAAATTTATACTGAATTTTTAAGAGAATCCAGTAAAGTAAATAATGAGAAAAATTATTTTATGGACATTAATGATGAATAAAAGACAAGAGAGTGATGAAACTAAAAAAATTGTCCTCTGTGCAGGTCACAAGAGCTGATGTTGAAGTGGAGCCGTACGCCTTCACCACAAAGTCCCTTTTTGTGGGACACATGGACTACCGCTACCTTCGCTGGCAAGTGATCGACACCCCGGGAATTCTTGATCATCCACTTGAGGAACGGAACACGATTGAGATGCAGGCAATCACTGCACTTGCCCATTTGCGGGCATGTGTCTTGTATTTTATGGATCTGTCGGAACAGTGTGGCCACTCAATAGAATCACAGGTATAAAAATCTATGCCGTCACTCTAGTGTGTTCATTGCAATCATTATAATACATAGTTGTCCATCAAGGAAGGCACCCAGATTTGACCAACCAATCAACAACTAACTACAGCCCTAAACACAGGCGCTGGTTCGAGTCGCTCCTTAAGAACTTAAAATAGAGGCCCATACACAATTCAGCTCAATAGCGCTTTACCTATTTTGTTAATAGTATGTTGTTGTGTTTATTTTTAGATTGAATTGTTTGAGAGTATAAAGCCCTTGTTTTCCAATAAACCATTAGTCATAGTTATCAACAAGATTGATATTGTCAAGCCAGATGAACTGTCCCCGGAAAAGCAGGTGAGAGCCAATTAATTTTAAAATCGTTTATGTTTTATATTAATTTGAAAAGTTAGGTAATCCAGGTGGTATTATAAAACAAAAATAGGCTCATGATAGGAGCATGAGTGTACTGCAGAAACTAGGTCAAAATTACTTTGTCAACACACTGTACTTGGCATGCGTGTCAAATGAAATGAACTGAACTGAACTCACATTCCATTTAACACAAAAATGTCACTACCACAGCATAGAGTATATCTGCGCAAGCACAAGTATACTCAAAAGTAATATTGAAATTACAGTACTATACAAGCACACACAGCAATTACACAACCATATATTGAACAGCAATACACTATGTCCCTCCTAATACCGATTGATTGACTGAATGAACCAGCCTCTAAGTTTGGCTTATGGACAAAAGCAAACACAAGGAAGAAAGGCTGGCAGAAATCCACTGATACTTCAAACCTTTTTCATCCCTTTTTTTTTTTTTTTAGAAACTTCTGGAACAGTTTAAAGCAGAGGAGATCCCAGTACTCACAATGAGTACAGTTACAGAAGAGGGTGTGATGAACGTCAAAACCGAGGTAAGAATTGCTGAATTCATTAAGATTTATAGCTTAAATGTAGAGAAATTATCATTAATTTGAAAGTCATTTTCTGTGAGGTCTTTCCCGTGAGATACACAGTAGATTTTAAAACTCTTGATTTTTGACATGTATATTCAGAGTATTTGAAGAACAATATGATCATTTTTATTTTTGAACTTTCATTTCAGGCGTGCAATTTACTGTTGTCGCAGAGAATTGATGTTAAAATGAAAGGAAAGAAAGTCTCTGATGTGCTAAACAGACTTCACGTCGCTATGCCAACTCCGAGAGATCAAAAGGTGGGGAGCTATAATGATTTTGAATTTCAGAAGTTTCTTTTATAATGCAGAATATTTTAAGCCTAATGTTCAGACACTTTAAAAAAATAAAAAGAAATAGCGATAGTTAATTTAGTGTTTCATCCTGTATTGAAACAATGCAATAGTTTATTGTGTTTTCTTTCTCAGTCAATTTTATGTTAGGTTATCCAGTTTCTTGTGTCACTTGAGCTCTAAGTGATTTATGTTCAAGAAATCACTTTTTAGGTCCTCAGAGTGCTGGAGAACAGGTTCCTTCTGCTGTTTTCTCTTTGTCTCTTTAGTAGTAGTTTCTCATTGTTTGTTTTAGGGTATTCCTTGGTTTAAATTTTTTTCTTTCGAGACTTCGCTTTTAAGCGCATAGAGACTGTTCCTGTAAGATGCTCTATTACAGGTACATACAGCTAATACATGGCCATATATTGTACACCACTACCCAATGTCCATCCTAATACCGATTGGCTGAATGAACCAGCCTTTAGGTTTCGCTTATGGACGAAAGCAAATACAAGGCGGAAAGACTGGCTGAAGTCCACTGATACTTCAAACCTTTTTCTCCTTGTGATATTCTATGTATTTATAACAATTTAATTAGTGAGGGCGTACTCCAACCCTAACTTTGTAAATGGCTAAATGTTAGTTATAGCCAGTTAAATATACACTTTTTTTTAGATCAGGAAGCATGCATATATTGTTTTGTTGAATTTTATATAAATTACAATTTTTGCCTAAAGAAACTCTTGTTAAAGCCTTTGATTGACAATAATATTTTCGTCATCTTTATAAGCAAGAAAATCTGAATTCTTGGGTTCAAGACCAGTGACTCAACAGGGTATTTTCTCACGGCTAAAGCCGGGCACACACTGCGTCGTACAGGTGTCACCCGCAGAATCTGTTTTTGCTATCAGTATTACTAACGCCATCTGCTGATTAGCGATGGCAGACACGTTAATTGTCATTAAAAATTATCCTTTGCATGCATGCCTTCCTGCATTGCTTATTACATGGAATCCCGTCAGCACCGAGTTTGCCTGGCTTAAAACAACTTGACTGACTGACTTTCTTAAGCCCAGCAGAGTTTACAGAGCATCATTACATTATGTTATTGGGGATTATTTCTGCTGTTGGGGGTAAAGGAAAACAAAATTATTACTAAATTGATTCCTAAATCCTCCTATCTTTGGTCTTCAAAGGTCAGACCACCATGCATCCCAGAAGCTGTCAGAAAAAAGCGTGAATTGATGGACACAGACAAGCCAGCTCGCAAACTCCTGCGTGACGTGGAACTTGAGATGGGTGACGATTACGTTGTCGATCTGCGAAAGCATTGGTTGGTGAAGGAGGAAGAGAGGTACGACGAAATTCCAGATATATGGATGGGTCATAATATTGCAGATTATGTGGACCCAGAAATTGACGCTAAGCTAGAAGCACTGGAAAAGGAGGAAGAAATGAGAGAGGCAGCCGGGGTGTATGACTCAGATTCTGTAAGTAATCAATGATTTTGTAAAGATTTACAGTAACTTAAAAGAACTGGTTACATACCTGGGATAATAAATTTCAAAAGTAAAATTTCAGTAATTTTACTTGACTTTCATACATTTATCTATCTAATGTTATTGAAAGTTCCATCTTGTTTATGGAATGCAAAGTGTTGAAAACAAAACAAATGCATTATTTACTGTTTTTACTTATTCAATAATGTTTACAATCATATATTGAAATCATTTGTTCAAAGTATAATTTCTTTAGCCAAATGTAACTTTGTATTTAATTAATCAATCAATTAGTTTACCAACCGAGCCTATATCCACAAATGTGTTGTAAACCTTAAATTGAACTGATTTTTTTCTTGATTTTAGTCAGATGAAGATGATGAAATGGTAGAAATCAGAAAGACAGCAGCCATGTAAGTAGTAAAGAATACTATCCCTGTTAGCCTTCCAAAGAAAATGAAAATATCAAAAACCTCTATTAATGTACTTCTCAGCCAGATATATTACTTGCTTTTTCTGCAACTACCAATATGCTTAATGTGTGTATATCAAACAACTGAGTATCTACCAGCTGTGAATCAGTATTATAAAAATCTAAAGCTCTCATCTTGCATCCTGATTAAAAGTGAAGATGTTTTTAACAAACAAAATCAACTTCACTCCCCAAGCTTCTAGAGCATTAAATTAATTCCCTGAATGGATTGCCCTTATTAAATATATTTTAATGTAAAAGAGGATAAAACACACCTGTACAGTAATCTGAATGTTAAGAGATTTCTTGTAATTAGATATTTGTTTCTTTTATTTTCTCAAACAGGATACGAGAGAAAAAAACATTGATGATTCAAGCGTCTCGTGAAAAACGACGGATTAAGACACCTCAAGTTCCTAGGAAAGCAAGAGCAGTACGTCCTTTCAGTTCTTCTCCTCGCATTTCACCATTTTCTAAACTACTTGTACATTTTCTTTATACATACTTTTTTCCCTTATAGTAATTATAGTTAGACCATTTATATATTCTGTTCTATCCTATTTTGTCTTTTTTATTGTTATGTTTAGGACTGCTCAAGTTTAACCACTTTTATCATGTTTATTTATTTCAATCCAATTTTTTTCATTTCAATTCTACAGACGAAGAGAACTCACTTTGAAGCACACATGGATGGCCTAGGGATTGACCCCATGGATAAGGTTAGTATCATGAGTAAACTTGCCCATGATTGATGATTTGCATGCATTATCTTTGACAAAACATTGTAACATAGGCCAAAAAAAAAAATTGTGTTGCTCTATTTGATGCCAAATTAATCCTTCTTATTAACTTATTTTTTGTTGAATTTAGTTCAATATACACTTGGTTAGTATTAATTCTGATATTACTTTGAATAATATTTTCTTTGGCTGAGGTTGCCACCGTTCTAATTTTCATGCCTAGGCCTCGGTCTTAACTATATACAGTAGATAGTCCAGCCTTGAGTTTAGACAGCAGTTCGAGGGCTATCATATTTAAGGTTTAATAAAAAATCTGACTTACTGACCAACGATCCCGTTTTTTTTTTTTTCAATTTAACATGTTGACTGCCTTTTCTTTTAGTCGTTTAACATCAAATGATGTGTCTAATAAATTAGCGGGAAAATGTTAGGAGACGAGCAAACTCGTCGACGGCACTGAGATTGCACTTTTTATTGACTATGTCAAGGGCGAGGTATCACTTTTGCTGCTGTGGCATCTAAAGTGCAGTCGGATTTGTCAGTGTATCACAATTGTTCACTTGTTATACTGGCTCATAAGCAGGATTCCTTAACGGCAGGTTTTTGGTAGAGCCAGAGATTAGGGTGCCTATTTGGCCTTGTGGAATCCAGATGAGAGCTCTTGTGATGCCATGGGGAAAAGCTCTCTGGTCCTGAACCATTCTAGGTAGTAAAATAATGAATTTCATTATCATTTTGATGGTTTTTGGTCAAAGAAAATAGTTTATCAGACAGAATTAGCTCAAAAAATGAGTTCAACCAAACCATAATAAAAAAAACGTCCTGATTATAGGCCTTATTAGCTATCTTCTACAACAGGCCGTCTTAGACTGATAAAGCCAAATTCTTGATTATTCATTCATGTAGGGACACTACACAAAATCACGATCACGTAGCAGAAGTGCAGTTGTACCAAAGAAGAAGCGTATGGATTCGTTGGGTCGTGTCGTCAGCAGCTCAAGACCGCCTCGCGATGTTTCTGGTATCAGAGATCCAGAGGTGAGTAAATGCCACTCAACTGTCAATCACTTTTTAACTATAAATCACATGTAACTGTCAGTCACATTTTATATAAATGTGTCATATTATGTAATGCAGTATGGTAGTGACTGGCTGATCTTTTTGCACATATTGTATAAATTGAGCAGTAAACTGACAAATTACCCACTTAATATTATGTACATCTAAGAGGCACTTAGAGCTTGATCTAAGTGCCAAGTACCATATTCGTAACTTATGGGGGATACGCAAATTTATTGACCATGACAACTGTCATGCTGCCGTTCGTGCACTTGTTTTATCAAGAATTGATTAGCAACTCATTGCACTCTGAGTTGACTGTTACAGATTCTCTAAAATTGCAGAAGTTGCAGAATTCTGCTGCATGCCTCATTTTTAACATCCGATCCTCTCATGCACACACATCACATCTTCTCTGTGAACTTCACTGGCTGCCTTTTAAGCAACTGGTTTATTTCAAATTAATGGTTCTTGCATTCAAGTCGATGTCTGGCCTATGCCTGCAATATATCTGACTTTTTACTTGTACGTAAAAAGCAAATTCATACCAGATTGGCTTTGTACATTAACTTTCATCAACCCATATTTAACAAATGTATTGGTAACAAATCATTTCCATATTAGGTGCCACTCATCTGGAATAACCTTCCAGTGCACATTCGATCTTCACCATCTGTAACTGTCTTTAGGACTTTAAAGACTCGCCTCTTTAATTAATTATCTTCATTTTTATTTTTATTTCATTTATTGTTGTTGCTTTATTTATGATTCTGAACTATGCCACTGCTTCTTTTGATTTGTTTACTTGTACTGTGCTTGAGTTAGGCAATGATTATGACTGCCTGTGGGTTGTGAGGTGCCTAAGTATGTGGGGTTCAGTGCTTCATATCTGAAAAGAAAGGTGCTTTATAAATGACCTGATTGGATTGGATTGGATAATAGTACCTATAATATTCACCAAGATCTTCGCAGCAGAGTTTTATTTTCGACACAGGCCTTGTTAGTGGGCGAGTTTTTGTTATGGGGCGAGTTTGTTAGGGTGCGAGTTAGGGGGTAAGCTTGTTAAAGGGTGAGTTTGTAGGGATATCTGTGTATAGTTGGCAGGTTGAGTTTGTCGAGGGGGCGAGATTGCAAGGGCAAACTTTGGTAGGTGGCGAGTTGACTGGAATCTGTCATTGACTAATCGACTTACAATAGTAAAAGTATTACAGCTTCTCTGTACTAAAGTACAGTTTACAATACTGCCACATTCTAATTACTCAGTTTATCATTTATTTTTATTTTCTTTGTCCAATAGAAATTGAAGTCAGTCAGGAAGCTAACCAAGGCTATTCAAGAACGCAAGTTTGCCAAACATGCTAAGAAGGGAGAATCTGATCGGAAAATCCCAGACCGGAAGCCGAAACATCTTTTTGCTGGAAAACGCAAGATGGGCAGTTCAAATCATCGTTGAGCCAACGTGTTTCACTATATTCAATTATTTGTATTATTTATTCTACCCTTTAAATGTTAAAGGGAATATGTTAAAAATTATTTTACATTTTAATGAAGCTATTACTAATAATAGTTAACTGGAGTCAGATAAACATGTTTTCTGATTGGTTAGCGTATTTATGCTGACTGTCTCTCATATTGGATCAAATATAAATGATTTTTGGTTTAGAAATTTTTTTAAATAAGTATAGTTTTATTTCTCAATTTTTTGTCTAAGTACACTAATAACACATCCAAGGTGGTTATTAGGAAGAAAATTTTTGAGATGCTAAATTCAATCAGATAAAAAAACACTATCATAGAAAATAACACAATACAGTACAGTAATTACAAAACCAAGCCACATACACACCAGCCTCCCGATACTGGAAAACCCAAGAGCATGTCTGCTACGTTATAAAGAACATCTGCTAGAAAGGAATTGATGGGAACATCAGAGGTTGGCGAGATAATCAATGATTGATGATGGTGTTATTAGATCTATTTGCATGTGTAGGGTGATTAAATTCATTTTTATTCTTATGTTTAAATTAAATTCAATTTGAAGGAATAAAAAATAATTTTTCATCACTATCACATTGTTTTTGTCCTTTTTATGGTATCTTGTGCTAACTTTTTTGACTTGTTCTCTTGGTCTTTCTTCACTTTCAATGCCTTTTAAATCTAGGTCTATAATTACTTTGTCTTCTTTGTCTACCTAAGCCATTTAATATTAATTTATATGAACACAATGATAGTAATAATACGAAGAACTAGTCTAGGAATCATCCTAATCCTGTGCATTACAATGGCCTGTCGCTAAACCTGGATGGAGCGATGCACCTGTGACATCATTACAAATCATAAAATTGCATAAAGATATGTAACTGAGTATTTTAAATTAGTTTTCAAGTTACATGAAATTGGTAAACTTGTTTAAGAGGCACACCGAAACAGCCTATCATTTATTTATTTTAACTTAATTCTCATCCAACAGGGGATCAAAGATGGCTTAAGCAATGGTTATGAGAGTAAAGAAAGTGGAAATTCTTTATTCTAGGCACCTTTTTTTGTAAAAACTATATTGTTTGGTGAAAGAGAACAATTTTTAGTGGCAGATATTCCGTAACGAGGACTTGTGTGATGGAGCAGGGCCACGTCGGGAGAGCTGGATATTAGAATAGAACACTTTAAAATCAACTAAATAAGCATTGAAACCCTTAAATTGCTGTGTTTTTCCAGGGGCTTCTCCCCCGTGACTAATTCCGATAGATTTTTTAGCGACGCCCAACCACGCCCACTTTGATGTCGTCGGGGACTTGGGACCCCCTGTCAGGCAAAAATGTTGGGGATTCAATATGATAGAAAGAGATAATATTTACAAAGTCATTGAACATTTAATTTTAACCAAAATCAACACCAATAAAAAAAACAAAAAAACAAAGAAAACAATTTCGATATTATTGCACAGAATATTTGATAACGTTTTTTTGCAAGTTTTTGTTTTTTAAGCACCAGTTTGAAACAAGTTCATGTCTGCATTGGGCACCGGTCCTCCTCAATCGATGTTCAGAACCACCTTCCACATTGTCGACAGACTTTCAGAATCTGGTTTCCTTTTTCTCTCCGCAATTTTCAGTACAACTTTGCTTATTGTCGACAGATCTTTCAGAATCTGGTTTAATTTTTCTCTCAGTTTTCAGTACCACTTTGCATGTTGTCGACAAAATCAGCAGAAGGTTGTTGGTAGAACACATCTTTCGGAATCTTTTTCTCTACTCAATGTTCAGAACCACTTTGCATATTGTCGACAGACTCTGCAGAAGGTTCATCGGAGCACTACATCTTTCATAATCTGGTTTCCTTTTGCTCTTCTAAAGACACAGAAAGCCATAGTTCATAGATATGCAGCCCTGTCTTATCTACTTCAGCTATCAACTCCAATTAAATCTGTAAAGGCAAAAATGCATGGAAAATATAAGTGCACACGTTATTTATATTTATTAATATACGAAACACAAAAACACAAATGGGTCTGTTATAAGACAATGGTCTCTTTAACACTGGAGCGTTCTACTTCATGTACTGTAGGCCCTATGTATCTTTTGTTCTATTTATAAAGTATTTCCCTGGACCAAGGGCGGCGCCAGGATTTTCCCAATGGGGGTATCTAAGGTTCCCGACGGGGGTGGGGGGGGGGGGCTGATTTCCCTGACGAGAACAAAGTGGGCGTCGTCGGGCGTCCCTCAAAATCTTTGTAAAGTGGTCCAGGGGGCGATATGACAATTTAGGGATTTCAAAGCTTATTTGATCGATTTTAGAGTCTTAATATCCCCGACAAATTGTGTGTTCTTACCCACCCCTACCTCCCCGCCACTCCTCTTAGCGCCGCCACTGCCCTGCACTCGCCGCTGGCGCCACCACTACATATTATTTTACACAAAAAATACTAAAATACAGACTTGCTAGCTAAACATACCACACAGACAGGCCTAAATGGCCCTCATTCGCTGTCTTCCTCTATTTTAACCTCAAC